GTAACACCCTCTGAAAACCAATGGAAGGCCAGCTTGGAATTGATTTGGATTTGACAATAGTGAATTGAGTGGTTGACACATTTAGGTATGTATGTATGTATAGGAGAAAATCCATACTCTTGGAAAGAGGACTAGTTAATATTACTATTACTAAAATGTACCAGTCAATTACATCAAAGATGAAGAAAGGGAAGATTTTTACCAAATGTGTGGTCTGAAGTTGACCAGACATGTAATCAACAAGATGGTTTCATAACTAATACAATGTAAAATTTGGAAACAATGAAGGATCAGTAGCTGAAAAATATGGGCCCAGTGCTGAATTACATAAGACCAGTTGACTTGTTAACTAGAAATGCTCTGTTTCAATAACATAAATGTTTATATTGTCCATAGGAAGCTATACTGCTAACCCAAAGGAACACCTCTCTGCGCGACTGAATTTAACAGAGGAGAAAGATGGACTCTCTTCTCCTGTGCAATTTACAGCCTCTAAAAATCTGCTGGAAGGTAAGTTACGAGTCCTGATTCCATGCTAATGACTTTGACTTTTCACACACACACACACACACACACACACACACACACACACACATACACATTCCCTTTGTCAAACGGAATACACAGGAATCAAATACACTCTATGGAAAGTGAAGATAGAAAGGCTCAATATCATCTATCAGAACAAGGCCAGAGGCTGACTTCATTACAGATCATTACTTAATCGTAAGCAACTTTAAGGTGAAGTTGAATAAAAGTAAAATAAGTCCAAGAGAGTACAATATTGAATATATCCCACTTTAATTTAGAGATAATTCTGAGAACAGAATTGACATGTTGAACATTAATGACTGAAGATCCGACAAGTGGAATGAAGGACATCAAAGAATCATTCATGTGAAATGAAAAAAAAAAATCAAAATAGATGTCAGAAAGACTTGAAAACTGTTGAATAGGAAATGGTTGTTAACTAATAGATGAAATGATAAATAAAAGGGTTGAATAGAGTTAAAGGGCAGTTACGTATGACAAAGTAAGCTATTATAATAAATTGCTGAAAGACTTGGAGTTAGAAAATCAAAAGGGAAAGACACAGTATTTTCAAGCTGAAAGAATCGATGAAAAAAAAATTCAAGTTTGAGCTGCAATATTGAAGGATTCTATGGAAATCTTTGCGGCCTAGTGTGCTGCCAACTCAACGAGAGGCAGTTTGAATCCACGAGTTGCTCTGTGTGGGAAGGAGATAGGTGATCTTCTCAACCTACAACCTCTGAAAACCCAGTAGAGGGTCAGCTATGAGTCAGTTCCAACTCAGCAGTAATGAACAACAACATGGGCGCAAATTGGAATGATTCAAAATGAACAAAAGAAGATGGCAGGAATACACAAGTCATTGCACCAAAAAGACCTGGTTGATGCTTTATTATTTCAAGAAGTAATATATGATTAAGGACCAAGGACACTCTTCAACATTATATATGATTTCACTCTGTGTGTGTGTGCCATAGTTTTTTTCACTCATCTATTAATGGATACTTAGGCTGTCTGTCTTTTCATTATTGTGAATAATGCTGCCATGAAGTGACACTAAACCTGAATCAGTATAGGAAGGTGAATGGGACTAAACACACAAATATATAAAAATTGAGGATACACACACACACACACACACACACACACACACACACACACAAAGGTGTAACTATTGTCCCCTCCACAGGTGGTAGTGAAGAAAATCAAAGACACAAAGAAAACCTTAGTCACATCTATTAACACAGGGTTAATAGATGATGAGAATCACAGTCTTTGGGGGTCCTGAGACCAGAAGAACTAGATGGTACTTGAGTACCACTGCTGACACCTCTGAAAAGGATTATAGTGGGAAGCTCTGTATAGAGTAGGTGAAAAAAAATGGAACAGAACTTAAAATATTAAAAAAAATACAGGAGTACTGGGGAAGTTGTAAACATACGTTAAGCTTGTAAGTGAAATCACCCTCGACAATAGACACTAATAAACAATAATACCAGGGAGGTATACATACCTTAAAACACTCAGTAATAAAAAATTTAAAAGACATTATTTGCTCAGGGAGAAAGCTGACAAGGTAGTAAGGGACAGAAAAGAAAGGCACATGGAAATGGTAAACCTGGCAAAGAAGTGAGAAGAGTTTTGTTATATTGTGTTACAAAATAAAATGTACTCTTTAAATATTTTCTCAAATCACAAAAAAAGTTGGAGGGGGAAAAAAGCACTGATAGCACTGAACAAAAAAAGTGCAGGCAGTACTGAAGAAATTGCCCCAGAACCAAGTATTTAGGAACTGATGGACTACCAGTTACAATGCCTCAAAAAATGGACACAACACCGGAAATACTCATCTACGTCAACTGAATGGGGAGATCCATATTTGTGCCCATTCTGAAAAACCAAGTGCTCCAACAGAATGAGAAAATTATCAAAGAATCCCATTTATATCACTTACAAGTAAAAATATGACAATGACAATTCAGAAACACTTTCAGCACAGCGAAGTACTAGAGGTTGAAGCTGGATTTCAGTAGAGTACATCAGCATTGCTGATATCAAATGGCTCTTGGATGAAAACAGAACACTAGAAATTGTTTACTTGTGTCTTATTATTTTATGTTGCTGTGTTGTTGATAACAAATTATGGATAATACTGTTTTGAAAGCATAGCAATTCTAAAACACTTAATTTGGCTTATAAAAACAATATGAGGCAGTTATTTAAATAACTGAACTAAGAGATATCTGGGTATCACTTAACAATACAAAGAGATATTTGTGTATGGTTTAAAAAAAAAGCATGTGTCACAGTTGTATTCTTTTACCATACTTATTTAACTTATATTTTGAGTAAATAATTCAAAAAATGGACTATATTATTAAGAATGTAGTACCAGAATGGAAGAAGATTAACAATTTGTAATATGCTGAGGACATAAATACACTGCAATGGACACACCTACTGAAAAGGATCTCTTTAAAATGTTACAAAGCGAAGATATTCTTTTGAGGACTAAAGTGTATCTGATTCAAGCCAGGATATTTTTGGTTACCTTAAATGCATGCAGAAACTGCACAATGAGTAAGGAAGACTGAAGAACTGGGACTTCAAATTATGTTGCTGTTAATGAAGATTACAGAATAGACCATGGCCTGCTAGAAAAGCAAACACCCATGTCTTGGGCAAAATATAGCCAGAATGTTCCTTAGAATGAAGATGGTGAGACTTCATCCCATATACTTTGGACATTCAATTAACTTCTAGAGAAGAACATCAAATTTGAGTAAACAAATGGTCAAAAAAAGGGGAAAGAGATGGATTTGCACAGTGGCTGCATCAAACAACACAAAGATTGTGAGGACAGCATAGGCAAAAACAGTGTTCTGTACACACACACACACACACACACACACACACACACAGCTCTGGTGGTACAGTCAATAGGGCTTTTTGCTTCTAACCCAATGGTTATGCCTCTCTGGCAATTCAAAGCCACCTGTCTGATTTGTAGCCTTAGAAATGCAGTGATGGGCAGCTATGCGAGGCTACCAGCCACTATGTGAGAGAAGGATGGGCAATCTCCTCCAATGTGACTGTCTCTGAAAATCCACCAGAGATTCAGCTCTGGATTGGATCTGAATAAATGGTACAGCAACAAAACACACACACTGTGGTGTCAAAGATTTATTGCCAAAATGTCTTTCCTAGCCAATGATTATTTATTTTTCTGCTGAAGTATTTTGTGTGTTAAGGAGAGAAGATTAAGTTGGGATACAAGCATTGCCCTACTCTTGTTATGTGCCATCGAATCCCTTGTGACTCATAGTCACTAGAAGTTTATTATATAAGCTCATGAGATCTCAACGGTATCTCTCTCTTTTTAGCACATTCACTTTACAGATAGTTTCCACTGCTTACCAGTCCCTGCAAAATCAGCTTGCATATCTAGAGTCATAGAAATCATTTTCTTGATGGGTCTGAGTCTCTGAGAGACCTTCCAGTGAACCACCCAACTTAAGAGACATTGAGGAGTGAGAGAACTGAACAAAGGAGAAACTACTGATAGTGTAAATCATGGAGTTACACAGCAAATCAAGCATTTGGGACACTGCTTCTTGTAACTAGTCTGCTACTAATCTTAGCAGTATGAATTATCTAACTATATATTGGAAGCAGGAGTGGCATCCACTTCCAAAAAAAGCTTGCCTTCGGAAACTCTATGATCTTGGAGAAAACATGAAAGTTTTGTGTTCAGGACTTTCATTCATAGGGTTGCTATGGGTCATTTACAACTCTACGGTATTTAACAATAACAACATAATATAAAATATTTATATTATACACATAGCCTCAATTATGAAAAAATAAACTGTGGAGGATAAAGTTTTATCTGGAGAGAAACTTAAAGGTGAAATAAGGTAGATAAGGTAGAGTTGGGCAATACTAATATGAGTTTAAATGTTTAACTAAACATTGACATAGATGTTTTAACATTCAGTCACCAACCTTGACATTTTCTTTATTTAGCAAAGATCTAGATGTCTTTTGAACCTAATTCCATTCCTCTCCCCTCCTAAGGTTACTTTTCATTAATAAAGGTAATAAGTTGCAAATACAGAGTGAAAATTCTTTGTACATGAATCAAAGTTTTCTTGGATATGTAGTATTAGTTCCATGTTGTAAAAAGAGCATCTTGAGATGTAGTGCTGTAAGAATAATTAGAAATTTTAGTCACTCAGTAGTAAAGTCCTATCTTCTTTTTTAGTTGATTAGAGTTTTTTTCCCCCTTTTATACTTTACAGAAGTTCAGGTATCTTCCGTCTTCTCATTGTGAAAAAAATTAATTTACATACACAGGCTAAGATCCATCTGCAGTGTGAAAATTATTCTGTTCTCTGTCATTTTGCTAGTTTTGAGCAAAGGCATTTTTTTTTCTTACTCACTGCTGCCATCTGCTGGTTTGATGGTGGTTAGATTTTAGAAAAAGCAGTGCATAAAGCTCCAGCCAGGATGATGAAAAACGCAAGTATCATCAACAGGTAGTTTCTCAAACCCTGAAAATTGAACAGAATAACTTTAATTAAAAAAAATAGAGAAAGTAACGTACTCAAAATTCCTAGGAATCTTCCTAATCATCTGGTATAACCAGTGGCTGCAACAATGGGTTCAAACACAATGATAATTTGGTGGGTCAAATCGTGTTTCTTTCTATTGTACACAGTTTCCTATGAGTCAGAACCAATTTGACAGCACTGATCCTCAATGAGAAGATGACACAGTGACTATGACAACAGCTCAGGTTTATCAGAAATCATAGGGATAGTGTAGAGTAGGAGAAGGTTCAGGTTTGTTGTTCATAGAGTCACTTTGAGTTGTAGTTGACATGATGGCATCTATCAACAACAACATAACAACAACAATAAAGCACGCAGACTATCTGTGGAAATTTGCAAGAGCCTTATCAATTCACCTGTTCAATACTGTTGTTGTTACGTGCCATCGAGTCGAGCACAACTCACAGCGACTCTATGAGCAAAAGACTTGAACCCTGGTCTATAACTATCATTGCTTCTCTAGGTTCATAGAGTTTCCAGAAGCATCTTGTTTAAGAAGTGGATGCCACTCCTGCTTCCAAGCCTGTCTCAATTCTGGGAGCTTCATCAAACACTGTCCACAATGGGTAATCATTATTGCAGGGTAATAATTATTGCATTTGTTACACCAGTGGCACAGTGTTCAGCATCACGGCAACTCCAAATTACTTCAGTACAACAACTTGACAGATCAATTTCAATTAGAAGAATGTTCATTCCAAAAACAATTAACATAAGGCCTGAGGCCCAGAGGCCCAAGGGCCCAACCACCTTTTAAATACAAGTCTTGCCCACCAGGTCCTGGTTGACTCTAAACAACAGACTTCCATCCCACAGCTTATTGTTTGTTAAATCCAGCAAATCCAGTCAGATCACATCTGATTGTGAAGGAAAAAACCAAACCAAAACCCAACAACCAAACAGTCCATAAGTGACCCTCATCAAAGCAAGAGGACCCATCTTCCAGAATACAGCTGCTTCACACATGTATCTCCAAACTGGAGAATTAGTCAGGGCTCGACTATCTTTTAAACACAAGGCCTGCTCACCAGGGTCTGGTTGACTCAAAACAACAGGCTTCCAGCCCACACTCATAGGCACCCTCAGTGTGTTAACATGTGCTGGGGTTATAAAGAAGAGCAAAAAATTAGGCATGGTTTATGTCCTTCGAGGGACAGGAATAAAAAGGAAAATCATATAGCAGAATGGTTCAAAGTGATAAGTTTGTTAATAACCAAAGGACTCAAGTTGTTTGAGAATCTATTACAAAGAAATATTAACAAGGCTGATTGGAGAAGTGTGGGTTAACTTTCTAAGTATCAATGAATTAGGCGAGAAACAGGTCAGCAGATAGGAAGTCTAAATAGAAGGAGCTGTATGTGAAAAACCCTGTAAAGAAAGCATGACACTTCTAAGGGATTGAAAATTCAGTATGACTGGAGTAATCACCATCAAGTAGAGCAAGGTAAGGCTTATGGGTTGTGTCTGGAGTATACAGCAGTGAAACAGGGCATGCTATGGCTCAGGAGTTTTAGTTTTTCAAGCTAAGAGAAGATATTTAAATAGGCCAAAGCAGTGTGATGAAAAATCAGGTTTACATCTTGCCAAGTGTGAAATTATTAGAATAAATTAAAATGGATATAAGGAAACCAATGGACGCGGCCTTAGTCCTTCAAAGACTGGATGTTGAAGTGCAGGTAGAGTAATAAGACAGACTTACAGGGTCAGGGAGAAACATAAAGAGAGAGATGTATGGAGAATAATTGAGCTAATCCTGTCTAGCTACGTATGGTGGTCCTGGGCTTAAAGAAGTAAAACCATAGAGAACCACGTACTAATACAGTTTAGTCTATTTTAAAGTTGACAAAGAAATATTTCCTGTGTTAAACAGAAATATTTCATTTCTGTCAAGTTCAATCTCTGGGAACACACACAGATCAATTCTAACATCTTTTCCACAGTTAAGAAAAGCCTTCAACTGCTGGGTAATTTATATTGCAAGAGCCATCTTTTTCCCTAATCAATATTCTAGCTTCTTTGATTGATTTTCATACAAAACAGTTTCAAGTTCCTTCATTATCTTAGTTGCAAGTTTGTCTATATCTATTTTTAAATATACTGGAAGCAGGAGTAGCATCCACTTCCTAAAAAAAGTTCCAGAAACTCTACGAACTTTGATAAATATCAATAGTTATAGAAAGGCTTCAAGCCTTTTGTTAATAGGGTCACTATGAGTCATGCTCAACTTGAAGGCAATCAAAAACATTCCTTATTCTAGGGAACTCTGGTGGCCTAGTGGTAAGAAGCTATGCCAGTGTCTTTAAGGAACTTGATTCAAATCCACCAGCTGCTCCACAAGAGAATGGTGGGTAATCTCCTGTGTGATTAACTGCCTCTGAAAATCTGTGGCAAGGTTAGCTATTAATTGGTTCCAACTTGGTGGTACACAATAACAACATTCCTTGTTGTTGTTGTTATGTGCCATCGAGTTGCCTGGGACTCATAACAACCTTATGTACAACAGTCCTAAACTCTGCTCTGTCCTGTGCCAAACTCACCATCTCGAACACACCTGCCCCCATTATCCGAGTCACTGAATCAATCCAACTCATTGAGGATCTTCCTCTCCTACGCTGTTCCTCCGACCTCCCATGCATGACGTCCCTCTCCAAGGACTGGTTATTTCTTACAACATGTCCAAAGTATGTCAGATGAAGCTTCAGAATCCTTGCCTCTAAGGAGCAGCCTGGCTTCACTCTCTCCAGGACAAACCTGTTCAATTCTTTAGCAGTCTGTGGTATATTCAATACTCTTCTCCAACACCACAGGTCAAAGACATCAATACTCCTTCTATCATCCCTAGTCATTGTCCAGTTCTATGATGCATAAGCAAGTGATTGCAAAGACCATGGCCTGTATCTGACGCATCTCAGTCTCCAGACATCGTTGCACTTCAGTACTTTAGAGAGGTCTCTAACAGCAAACTTTCCCATCACAATAAATCTTTTAATTTCCAGGCTGCTGGTGCCAAGAGTGTTGACTGTGGAGCCAAGCAAACCAAAACTGTGAACAGTCTCAATCTCTTCACCATCCATTATGATGCTGCCAATTGGCCCAGTGGTGATAATCTTTGTTTTCTTGATATTGAGCCTCAGTCCATACTGAAGACTAGAGTCCCTGACCTTCTAGCAAGTGCTTCAGGTCCTCCTCAGTTTCAGCAAGTAGGGTTGTGTCATCTGCATAACACAGATGAAGTTCATGTTGACTTTATTATTAAAATTATAGATAATTTAAGTCATTTCCAAAATTTTTCTTTTTAAAATTTATTATTCTTATTAATAATTTTAATGAAAATTTACAGAGGTTCTGGATTTCCATTCATTCATTGCTGCATTTTTCTCCCTGACCACCCCTCCCCTCATTTGTTCTTCTCTTTGAAAAGTAAAAGAAAAATTCTTTCATTGTCTTACAATCCCTACCCCCAAGTCCAATCCACTATGCAGCCTTCATTTTGGACTCCTGTCATGACAATAATACCTAATCATATATCCCTTTTAAACAGTTCTCTCTCTCATGTGTTTCAAACATTCCTTATTCTAAGTCAAGGAGTCCCGATGGTGCAGAATTAAATGCTCCATTGCTAACTAACATGCTGAAGATGAAAATCTATCGAGGTGCCCTGCAGGAGGAATCTCCCAGGACTTGGAAATCGGTTTCTATAAAGATGACATCCTATGAAAACCCTATAGGAGAGTTTCTCTAACATCTCCTTTTAAGTTTTCAAGATAGCAACCTTTACATACACACTAGAACAGGTACTGGGGGTGGGGGGGCATTCAACACATATTTTGAAAGAATATATTCAGCTGTTTTCCAGATACACATTGCGAGTTATTTAAATAACTCCAACATATGGGTATTTAATTATTATCAAAACTTTCAGACCTAATTATGCAATAACTTGGCTCAGTTTTCTATTGTATTGTCTATGTAGATAGAAGAATAATGTTCTCAGGGAGTGTAATATTTTTCTCCACTTTATGAATAAGGATCTGCCAGAATTTCTTAGTCTCTTATCTGAGCTCTAGATTTCTCTAGAGAACAAGATGGATTACATCTGGGCAAGAGCATCAGTTTTCCTTTGTCAAAGGTAAATGTTAACTTTTTAAAAGGATCATGATCACATTCTCCCTAAAACAAAAAGGTTTTAACTTGTATCTCTGAAGCAGCTACTGAGATGATAGATTACACCATTCTTCATTTGAGAGTAACTACTGCTCTGGAAATTTTTGTGGTAATAACTCCCCACGTTGGTATTACTGCAGACATATTGACTAACATGTATTGGTAAAAATGGGATATATCTAGCTTACAGAATGTAAGAAGAAAACTCTAAAACCAACTTCCCAAAGAAGAATTGATACTAGATATGAAGAACATCCAAAGTTCAAACAGCAAATTGATGGATTAAAACTAAACCAAGTCTGTTCTGGAAAACAATGTATTCAAATTTCGTGAATAAAATAGTATATAGTAGTAGTAGTAGTAGTAGTAGTAGTACTACTACTACAAAACCCCCAACCTAAATCAAGTCAGTAAGCATTTTCACACAAAAGTGCTAACCACTGTCTAAGTCCTTAATGCTGTAGTTTGTACACTTAAATGTATATTTTCAAGGGCTTCTTTGAGATATATAACTGATATAAAATAGAAGTCATAAAGAAAGGCAAAGGCTTCCTGCTGTTTTTCTTCTTTAGAGCTCAAGCACAGTGTTGATTTCTAAACATATTTAAAAAATTACTCTATGGATTTTTTTGCTTACTGCTTAGTATACGATATATAAAACAGTTAAAGTTTTCCTTTATATCAAGTATTAAGAGGCAAGTTGGTTTGTTTGTAGATAGACTTGCAAGTTGTAGTTTCTTTTCTTTATGAAATTAATTCTAGAGACAACAATTACTTATTCTTTTTAACTTTGTCTTTCTTTCATTACTTGCAATTTTATGAGTCATTTTCAAACATAGAAAAGGGCAGATTGTCAATACTAAAGTTTAAAAATCTTTACAAGGAAATTGCTGAAACTAACATAAATTACATGTGCTTTAGAAGTATAATTTGTACTGTCATGCTTTTAAAAATGTTTATAGTTACATATTTATTTAGTCTAACCTTAGACCCTACTATTACAGACTCAGAAATACTGTCTTTAGGATTTATAGGATTTACATGAAATCGGAACAGATTGAACATCCTGGGTTATCCAGCTCACCATCCGTCAGTTTGTCATACCGTGGCTATGATATGAATAAAACATTATCATACAATTCACAGGTATTTTTCAATTGAAGATTTCTGCCACCAATAAAGAATATGATGCTCCAGAACACTTTTTAATAAGGATACATAGTTAGCACAAACACATACATACACACTCTCTTCCTAGAATGATGTGATGAATGTAATTATAAGTTACACACCATTCATATTCCAAGGTATAGGTTCTGAAGGAGGGTGGGAAGAGTTGGGAAGTTGTAGTTTTCAACTGTTACTATAATATTTTTCTAGAAAGCTGTTGATTTGATATGGAGACCTTTAGGAAGCATGAATATCTAGTCCCAAATTCCATTTGATTCTGGAATGTTTTAACTACTGGTGTAAAGTAATATTTTGCTTTGTTTATCTAACATCTTTCATACCAAATTCCTTTATATTTTATGAATTATTTTGCCAAAAATCATTAAATTAAAATGAAAATAAATTAAAATCTTTGTTTTAAGCTAGGAATAGTGGGATTGTGGTTGATAGAATTACAGTGTTTCATGATAATGAGCACGAACCAAATAAAATAAAACAAAATATCATTCTTCCTACTGAGTCAGCCCCAACTCATGGTGAGCCATGTCTGCAGAGGTCCATAAGCTCTGTGGGCTTTTGCAGATTTTTCAGAAACAGACACCAGGCTTTTCTCCCCAGGCACTGATGGATGAGTTTTTACCAGCAACCTTTTAGTTAGTACTTTTGCCAGCCAACATTTGATCTATTAATTCCATTGTCTGCGTCTAACTCTAGAGTCACATAGAGTAGTCAGAATATAACATAAAATAATATTAAATTCTCATCTGCCTATATTTACTAAATTTTCCAAATTTCCCATCTCTTATATACATACCTGTATCTCCTTAAACATGAAGACACCCCACATTGCAGCAACTAGTCCTGGACCCTTAAATGAAAATAAAAACTTAAGTTGTATATTCTTCTATGAGTATAGAAGTGAATAATATATTATTACATTAATAATTGTTGTTGTTATGTGCCGTCAAGTCATTTACGACTTATAGCGACCCTATGTACAACAGTCCTAAAGCCTGCGAACATGAAATAGCACAGAAAATAATACGAGGTAAAAAAATTTTTTTCATTTTTCTCCATCTTCTTCATTTTTATTATTTTGATCATCTTATCATATTTTATGCCAGAAGATACTTTTTCTTGATTTTATGTATTTCTAATAAACAATACTTAATGATCTGGTAGCTTACTTTTTTTAAACTAATTTCTTAGGTTACACAAATGAGACTAGTGAGAAAAAGTTTATGAACTAAATTTTAACTGTCTTTGAGATAATCTTCTAACTGAAGAAATTTTATTATGTTCTTTGGGGCCTGATAATTACAAAGGTAGATAGGAGAGAAAAATCCTGCAAGGTAGTAGTAGTAATAATAATAATAATAATAACAACAACAACAAAGCGTAATAGGCAGGAGTTAAATCTAAAAAAAGAATTATTACAAGATAAGGCAATGAGAAGAAGTACGACAAAGAGAAGGAATACCCAGAGAAGGAATTGTTCTAAAATTTGAAAATAATAAACTATTTAAGATCAGTGTTGATTTTTGAGTGGGGTTTGGTTTTTGGCTATTTTTATTTTATTTTTTTTTAATTTGAGAAGGAAAAGAAAATGGAATGTGGATGTGTCTTGGCCTTTGGAGAGAAAGTACAAATATTCACTTTTGTAAAAAATTTTTAATTTTTTTCAAATATTCACATTCTTATAATTCCTCACCAAACCCTCCATGAACTGTGAAGCAGTTTCAAAGAAATAATTTCAAATTCTTTTTCCTCTTACCCTATTCCAACTGTCTAAATAACTGATTGGGTCCACAGGTTTCACTTCACTTTGGTATTTAAGTGAAGTAATAAAAATATGTTATGTCTATGTTTATCAGCATCTGGAAAAGTCAACATCAGAAGAGCCACAGAAATAGGGCAAAGGAACTACCTTTTACCAATGGCATCAAGTCCTAAGCCTCAAAAATCCAAGTCGTACAAGAAACAGCTGTATCCTTTAGGCAACTCCATCCTGGCTTACAAAGGAATGGGAGGTAACAATAAAATAAAGAATATAGAATAATGCTCTCAAGCTAATCTCTCAAAATGATCTGTCTTCTTTAATTTGAAAATTCAACTTCCTTTGGAAAATGTGGTAGAAGACAATATTATAAAGTATGATTGGCTATGAAGATTTTTGCCTGATAATTTTCTAATTCTAAACTCAGACATAGTTAAAGGGTGACCAGAAAGAGTGTAATAATTATAAGTAATGGCACTTTGCCAAAAGAAACAAACACAAGTAAAGATCAAAGTGGGATAGACTCTTGATTCAGACTTTGTCCAGGTCTTTATCAAGAGCTAAGATAAGAAACAGTAATAAAACAATAGTTTCTTTTATACTATAAAAATTTGTGAAGAATAACATTTATTTGTTATTTAATGTGCTCTGTTTAATGACCTCAAATGAGAATTCTATTAATAATGTAGGTACTAGAACAGAACTGGTCTTTTCTGAAGAATACTAAACTATCAGTCCATAAATATTGGCTAGTCATCATATTTCCCTTTTGGAAACACCAGAAAAGACTGCCTCTTTAAGCAGAGTAACTGGTCCCCTTTTGAACTAGTTCCTTTCTTTCTTATCATTGCCATTGTTTGACTTTCTATCTTTATTTGAATTTCTAGATGTCTTGTGTAATATATTCAGTATGTGTATTTTGCATTAAATTGTCTCAAGAGTTTTCTGAAGAATCCACATAAGTTTTAAGGATAACGTAATTAAAAGGAAATAAAAGTACAACAATAGAGATAAACTTAAATTTGACACAAGAATTAAGTACTCAGCTGCTAACAAAAAGGTTGATGGTTCAAAACCATCCACAAGCTCTGTTGGAGAAAGCCCTGATGGACTGTTCTCATAAAGAATAGAGCTTAGAAAATGCTACTGTGCAGTTCCACTCTGCCACCTGGGATAACCATGTTGGCATCAACACAACGGCACCTATCAAGAATAATGACTTAATCTATATTGATACATATTATTCCTTCCAATTTATTGAGTTTTATACTGTCAGAGATATTTGCATTTCTAGCTCAGGGCGTAGTTGTACTATATATACTGTTTACAAAATTAATTAAGAACATAACTGGTATGCCTTATTTAATTAACCAGAATATTTACCTATGATATTCAACAATTTTTAAAAATGAGCAACCTGAAATTGATGAGTAATAAAATTATGCTTGGAAATAACGTGGTCCTTTGCCATTCCTGTTATGAGGATCTTACTCAAAGAAAATGCTTTTAACTTGCTCAACTTTGAATATATTTCCCCTCAGCAGAAATTAAGAATGTTAAAATCAAATTACCCTTGAAAGCTGTCTATTTTATGAGCATGGTACAGATGTAAAAAAATACATTGTTTTGAAAGAATTGAAATTAAGTTGTAAGATTTTTTTTAAAAATTATGTAATATGGTTTGGACTAGAGAGCATGGTTCAAAAAACAAAAATAAATATCTGTTTTCTAAGTTTACACAGCTGTGCCACGCAAATCTTCAATCAAATCTTTGTGGTAATGATTTAGGCAGCAAAGGAGGCATGCAAACCACTGGTTAGCAATGGAAAATATCTAGGGGAGATGTGAAAGCTCAAGTATTGAAACAATTTTGGGTATATATTTATCAGCTTCAGTCCCAAAATAAACTCTAAATTGGATTTCACATTGTTGACAGAGAGTAATACTTGGTACTGGCTTAGAACAAAATGTCCAAGGTTAGAAGTTTTGAGATTTTTTACTACCTATATGATTTCAGACAATGTTCTTAGATTACCAGCACCTCAGTTCTCTCATTTTGAAAATAAGGATATGCCAGCACAAATATTTATTTGCCTTGCAGCCCCATGGTGGGGGGGAATAGATGATCTCATCTCTTGGATTATGTAGCCTCAGAAACCCAATGACGGGTCAGCGATGAGTGTGTTCTGACTCGATGGCAAGAAGAGAAATGTCAAAAGAATGAATTTTTTTTCGCATCCCTGTATGCCACCAAATTGGCACCTAAAAATCAGATGAAGCAAACTATATTTTTTTAATGTCATGAGAAATGTTCCTTTCCAGAGACAATACCTTAATAATATTGAAATACGGTTTCAAGGGGAATCTAAAGTCTTTTCATTTCACAAAGCTGCTATGAGATAGTATACAGGAAAAAAAATGTATATTTACAAACTGTGAAGCAATTATGAATGAATCTTGTTATAAGTGGAAAACTACAACATATACAAAATGACACATTAAAATTAGAACTTTTTCTTAAAAAAACAAAAGAAATAAAACAATAGTAAAATTGCAGATGAACAAACTCATTAGTATGAGTCAAGAAATTTTCATGCTACTGGAGTGAGATGGTATCTAGTTGTGGTTTGATTTGCATCTCTCTTTTTGCCAGTGATGTGACGCATTTCTTCATATGTCTGTTGGCCGTTTGAATATCGTCCTCTGTGGAAATTTTCCCCATGTCTTTTGCCCCTTTTGTATTGTATTAGGTTATCAGACTTTTTCTTCTGGAGGCCCAAGACTATTCTATAAACTCATTAGTATGAGTCAAGAAATTTTCATTAGCAGTTAATGATAGCCAGAAATGCACAATCTGAACAGTATAAAATTGATGAATGGGACCTTCTAAATATTAAATCGCTGTGTGCATCAAAACATTTTCCAACAAGGTGAAGAGAAAATCTACCAATTGCGAACAAACATTTGGCAATACCATCTCAGACAAGAATCTCATAACAAAAGTTTAACAGGACAGCAAGTAATAAATGTTGGAGAGGATGTGGCCAGGTAGGAACCCTTCTACATTGTTGGTGGGATTGTACAATGGCACAAAACCACTCTGGAAGGCAGTTTGGCACTTCCTCAAAAAAGATGAACATAGAAATTCCATATTACCCAGCTATTCCACTACTTGGAATAAACCCTGAGAAAATGAGAACTGAGACTCAAATGGAAACTTGCACATCAATGTTTATAGTAGCATTATTCACCAGTGTAAGAAAATGGAAACAGCCCAGATATCCAACCACAAATGGATGGATTAAGAAGTTGTGGTACAACCATACAATGGAATACTACATAGCATGTAGGAGCAATGACTTTGTGAATTATTACCTAACTTGGAAGGGACTGGAGGGCATTATGCTGAGTGAAATAACTCAGATTCACAAGGACAAATACTGTATAAGACCATTATTGTAGACTGAGTATAAGTATCCAAGGTGTGTGTTTGAGGGGTCCGTGGTGGTGGGGTGAGCGTGAAAACAGAGGAATGAGGATGGGTGGGGGGGAAATAGGGTGTTAATCATAGGGTTCTACAATTTGATGGGTGCGTGGGGTGAAGGAAATGGGAAGGATCTTTTGTGAAAAACAATGCATTCAAATCTTGTAAATAAAGCAGTATAAAATTTAAAATAGGAGAATTAGAATGTCAGTAGTTTCTTGAAATAATTGATAATAATACACCCCAAAATCATCAAAATCAATGAAGCTTTTAAGAATTCACCACAAATACTTTTGAAAAATTAGATAAATCAGAAATTGGGAAACCAAACACCAGAATCCATTCAGCTACTTACAGCAGTGATTATTGGAAAACTGACCACAGGACTGAGAAAGTGATTGGCAATGAACCAACAACAGGTAGCGATTGCCCAAAGTGTTCCTGAAAGGAATCCTGAAACAAAGACACAGGCATTTACAGACCACAGTTCTCTCTTGAAACCCTCACTCTACATCCTTAAGGAATATTATGGATATTCACATGTAATCACATTCCTATCAATATTGTGGGGGCTCTGCTGGTCTAGCAGTAAGGAGCTATACTGTCAACCTAAAAGTATGCAGTTCAAATCCATTAGTAGCTCTAAGAAGAAAGAAAAGCAATCAACTTCTGTGGGATTTACTACCTCTGGAAACCGGCTGATGGATCAGCTATGGGTCCATCTTCACTTGACAATATTCAACAACAGTTTCAATTTTGTGGGTAGTCTGGTGGCCTAGTAGTGAGAAGTTGTACTACAATCCCAAAGGCACAAGGTTTGAATCCATAATCTGCTCAGAAGGAGAAGGATGGGCAGTCTCCTCTGCTCTTTACTACCTCTGAAAAGACACTGGAAGATCATTATGAGTCAGTTCTGACTTAACGGCAAGCAACAATTCTGTGAAGCAACATGAGTTTCTGAACTGTATTTTTAAGATCATTTGGGAAACTAAATAATATCTGCTAGGCCCTAATCTTTTAGTGTTATTGATATAAAAGTAAATATTTGATGTTGATGGAAAGATAAGCTAATGGAAAGGGAAAATATGAAAGATGCTACATGTGAATAGCTACAAATATCTACTCTAAATCATGAACATAAAAGAAAGTGAAATATATACTACAGCTATAGCAAATTGGGACATCTGTTGGCCTAGAGGATAAAGAGCTGAGCTGCCAACCGAAAGGCATGTGGTTCAAACCACCAGATGCTCCTCAGGAAAAAGTTCTCATGTGTTTTACAGCTTCTGAAAGCCTGCTAGACAATTAACTATCAGTTAGTTCAAATTGAAAACAAGTTCAATGTTTTTAATGAGACTTTAGCTAAGCATTCAGTTAGTAGTTTATATTTTTTTTTCAGATGGCATATTTTGGTTTAAATAAATTAAGCATTCAAAGTGGACCTCTGACATTGTTTTATCCTCTAAAATTTTTTTTATTTGGGAACCTATGTTCCAGAATGAATGATAATAAATTCCTAAATAAGGGCAAAAAGGTGTTTTCATGATTGATGCCTAATGAATTTACAATTGGTTTTCTCTGAAATTACAGAACCCTATACTCTATTTTTTAATAAAGTCATAGGACCCAGATTGCTAATATAAATCTTTACTAAATTGCCCATTCTTCTCCTGAGGAGCAGCTTGTGGATTCAGACCATATGTTTTAAGGATTATAGCACAGCTTCTTGTCACTTCACCTCCAGAGCTCCCTTTACATGGTAAAGAACAGTAAAAGCTGACGGCTAATGTACAGATTGTTTGGTCACATTGAGGCTTAGGAGGTTACATACTAATGACCAGCATTCCATAACTAGCTTATTGATTTTTAAATATTTTTTTTGGTTTTTGTTTGTTTTTAATCATTATTAAATTTTATTAGTTTTAGTGAACATTTACAGAGATTTTGGGTTTTCATTCATTCATTGTTGCACTGTTTTCTCTACCCTCCTCCCCAGTTCGTTCTTCTCGCCACCCCGAATGTCTGTTTTAATTGTCCAATTGCCACAGTGCTTGTCGAAGCCAGTTCTGATTAATCTCCTTTGTCAGTGTGATGTTTTATTTTTAAGTAGTGAACTGAAAGCCAAAGTAATTAAGACACACACACACACACACACACACACACACACAGGATGGCCTGATTTCCAGTTTATTATTACTCAACCAAAATGAACAAAGGTCCTTTAACATAGAAAAAACATTTTATATAGTAAACATTCTTACCTGGCAAGACTGCTTTAGGATATAGTTTAGGGCTATTTTTCATCGCTATACAGTATGCCAGAAAGTAGATTGTACTTGTAAGAAATATGCCGCTGAAGTGTGCAAAAACATAATCTAAATCTGAAAACAGATGACACAATTTTCACATATCACTTTGATATTTTAAATACATCTGAGCTTCTTAAAAGCAATAAAATAAGTTAAAATTTAACTTAAAAAATTATCACTGTTGCTCTAAGGAGTCACCTCAGACTCACTGTGACCCTATGTTCAGCAGCACAAAACCCTGCCCTGTGATGCAATCCTCACAATCTCTGCCAGGTTTAATTAAGCTCATTGTTGCAGACACCATCTCAATCTGTCTCATAAGGGTCTTCACCTCCTTCACTGACGCCTCTGCTTTTCCAAGCATGATGTCCTTTTCATTGTTGTTGTGTACCGTAGAGTCAGAATCGACCTCCAGCATGTTTTCAGAGGTAGTTAATTGCACGGGAGGAGATTTCCCATCTTTTTCCCGCAGAGCAACTTGTGGATTCGAATCCTCTGCCTTCAGTATTGCAGCACAGATTCTTTGCCACCAAGTTACCAGTCATTCCACTTTTCTACATATTTATTATATAAGGATCCCCGTGGCACAGTAGTTAAGTACTTTAGTGCTAACCAAAAGGTTGAGGCTTTGAACTTGCCAGCTTCTCTGTGGGGAAAAAGTTGTCTAGTTTCCAAACAAGAAACCCTATGTAGCAGGTTCACTCTATTCAATAGGGTTGCTATGTGGTTTAGTGGTAAGAAGCTGTGCTGCAATTCCAAAGGCCCACATGGTTCTAATTACCAGCTGTTCTGTGAGAGAAGAGTGGGCAATCTCCTCCCGCAAGATTAAATGCCTCTGAAAACTTGTTGGAGAGTCAGCTATCAGTAGGTCTCAACTAGATGGCAACAGCAACAATATGTATCAGATGAGTTTGTTTTTGTTGCTATCAGGTAGGTGCCTTTGCATCGACTATGACTCACAGCAACCTTATGAACAACACATCTGAACCCTACTCTGTTCTGTACCATCCTCATGCTCAAGCCCAGTGCCACAGTCACTGTGTCAGTCCACCTTGTTATGAATTTTCCTTTCTTTCTGACCTAGCACTCTTCTCAGAATGATGTTTGTTTCCAAGGACTCATCACTTCTGATGACATGCCCAATGTATGTGAGATGTTTCACTACCCTTGCTTCTAAGGAGTACCCTGGCAGATGTGGTTGGGAGGTACAAAGGGTTAATATACTTGGCTGCTAACTGAAAGATGGAAATTAAAGGTCACTAAGATATGCCATGGAAGAAACAAAAAGTGATATACTTCTAAAAATTAACCAAAGAAAACATTGTGAGACTAGTTCTATGGTGGGGTCACAGTGAAATGCTATGCATCACAGTTCACATCTGGAGTTAACCATGAATCATATGAATTCCATATGATGGAATTAAAAAAAATATTGTGAATACCTTCTTTAATAACAAGATTTTAGACATAAATTTACTATCAACTAATTTTAGAAGTATGGGAAATCTCCTTCCATTCAATTAACTGCCTCTAAAAACCACCAGATGGTGATCTATTGGTTGGTTCTGACTCGATGGAATACAACAACAATTTTAGCACATTAGGTAAACTGGTGTTGTCAGGAGATGTAGAAAAAAAATATTGGGTGTAATTTTATGTTTTGTTCATCACTGTGGAGACCAGAACAGCACATCTATTATTAGAGTTATACATGAAAATAATAAGAAAATTATTCCAAAGAGGGTTTTAGTCAACTATTTTAACCTCAGTTACACAGAAGAGTTAGTCACACAGGATGATAGTGCAATATCTTGAGAAGCTCCAATGTTACATGTCAAGCCGGCAATTTTAACCAAAGTTACACAAAAGAGTTCGTCACACAAGATGATAGTGTAATATCTTGAGACGCTCCAATGTCACATGTTAAGCAGGTAATAATCATAGAGTATACACTACACGTCTCTGGTCAGGGATGCCACATTTGGTTCCCTATTTCTTTACCTAAAATCTGACAAAGGTAACTCAGTCATCATTGAGTTAACTCTGCCCCTGGCAAAACTTTGTATGACAGAGTAAAACTATATTCTTCAGATTATTTAACGGTTCATCTATTGGAAGTACATCAGCAGGACTTTCTTCTGATGTTCCTCTAGGTAGATTTGAGCTTCCAACCTTTTGGTTGGAAGAGTGAGTTAATTGTTTGTGAGTTATTATTTGTGCCATCAAGGGTTAGAGAATAGACTGAAGTTGCCAATGATTTATTTTACTTGAATCCATAATCAACACCCATGAAAGCAGTGGTCAAGAAATTAAAATATGTTCCTCATTGGGAAAACTGGTTTTCAGGGACCTCTCAAAGAACAGCAGTGATGTCAGTTTGATGTCCAAGTCATAGTATTTTCAATAGCTATCCTATGCATCTTCCTATTCATCAAAACAATGAATAAAAATGACAGAAGAATAAGAGACCCTTTTTAGTTGTGATGTTGCAGAAGAGTATTGAATATTGCATGGACTGCAAGAAGAACAGATGCATTTGGAGAAAGAGCCTTCAGGGTTATCCTAAAAGGTAAGGATGATAAAACTTTGTCTTACATACTTTTTAAAAAATTTTTACATTGCTTTACATACAAAGTTCATACATATTGTGTCTCACACTATCCTTCATTCACATTATACTTTTGCATGCTATCAGGAGGGGCGAGTCCTTGGAAAAAGAATGACATGCAGGGAAAGATAGAATGTTAGTGTAAAAGAGAGGAAGAGCTACTGTTTTCTCAGTGATTTGGGCAGGCTCATGATCCCTATTCCTGGCTGAAAAATTATGTCAGGAAGGGATCGAGAGAGTGAGAGGGAGAGGAGAAGAGGGTAAATGGCACAGAGGGTAGCTTGGATGAAAAGCTAGAGATTTTATTAAGAATGTTATATTCAAGAGACAAGTCAATCACCCTCCTTGAAGGGAGAGCACCTCAGAGCATATCAGGGTCATGGTCTTTATAGGACTTGTGTAAAAATATATGTAAACAAGGGGAGTGATGTGTTTGCATTGGTGCCGAATCTGTTCCATGGAGGAGTTGGGCAGAGAGTACCTAGTATCAGATATTTTGACCTAAGTTGGATCCAACATAGTAATCTCCACAGTAATTGAAAACTTTCCTAGTGCTGGTGGAAGTTCTTTTTTAGCATTCTAATGAGGAATTAATCACCTGGGCACCTGAAGAATAGATCTGGGCATTTTACCCATTTTTTTTTCTGAACATGTGTTAACTGTTTCATCTTTACAAGGTTTATTATCTTAGCAGCTGTCTGCTTTCCTTTCTGCTCTAATGTTCATAAAATTTCAGTCTAGTGGTCTTTCTTAATCAACCTGGTTCTTATTTGATCAACCTGGATCTTGATTGCCTGGCTCTTTTTCTACAATTTTTTTTGGTGTTTCATTTAAAATTTTTTTAAATTATTATTTATTGTGTGTGTACTGTCAAATCAGATCTGACTGGTATAGGAGGAGATTTCCCATCCTTCTCCATCAGAGCATCTGGTGGATTCGAATGTCATTTTTTAAACTCGTTTTTTATTGTGTTTCATTCATGTATAATGTGTTGTACACAATCTTCTGTTTGCATTGTTTTTCATACGATCATTCATATACACTGTATTTTATAAAATGAATTACTATTGATCTATGCTTCTTATGATCCTGCCTTTTTAACTCCCCACTGAATTTTTCTTACACCTTCACAACACATCTGCCACTAACCTCTGCTATCCTACTAATTTAAGCCCTTCCCCTTGTTCTGCCCTTTCCTCTTTTGAACATTTATACACATATTGCTCAGCTGTCCTATTTTTACAGTTACAGTCGATAGCCTAGTTCTTATCACTGTTTGCTGCTCCTTCATTTTTGTGGAATGTCTTCATCTCTGATCTAACTCTATCCCTAATACCTCAAGGAGATAAACTGACACAGTAACTATGACAATGGACTCAAGCATATTGGAGAACCTAAGACAGGGCAAGGTTCAGAACTGTTGTTTAGGGCTTAGTCATAAATTGTGGTTGACTTGATGGCACCTAACAACAAACAACAAAAACCATCAAGGAATTTGATGAAGTGGCCATGTGTAGGCAGGAAAGCTTGGAGGACAAAGCATTTATATATTCTTTATGTTCTACTCTAGCTCCTATAAGCACAATTAGTCCACTCATAGGTCACCAAAATATGTAGCAGAGCAGAAAAGCTAAGACCACAAACTTATTTTTAGGTGCCTCCGAGTATGCTCTGACTCCTAGAGATATTGCATACAATAGGACAAAACCCTGTCCTATCTCACACCCTCATCAGAATCTCTTCTGTTCTTAAACTCATTGTTGAAGTCATCTTGTTCATCTACATTGTTGAGGGTTTTCCTGTCTTTTGCTGATCCTCTACTTCTTCAAGCATAATGTCCTTCTCCAGAGATTGGCTCCTTCCAATATCATGTCCAAAGTGTTTAAGAGAAAGTGTCACTATCTTTGATTCTAAGGAACAACTCTGGTTGAATTTCTTCCAAAACAAATTTGTTCTTTTGGCAGTCTGTAGCATATTCGTTATTTTTGCCAACATTATAATTCAAAGGTATCAATTTTTCTCCAGTCTTCCTTAGTCATTGTCCAAATTTCCTGGGTGTATTAATCATCATTTCACTTAATAGCTTTGGAACTTTTTCAAATTATCTACCTATGTTTTACTTTTCCATTTGTGAAATCTAGCTATGGTGTCAAGGGTTTATTGTTCAAAATGGCTTTCATATCCATTGACTTTGACTTTGTCACATGGCTGGGGGAGATCATACAAATGGGGTATGCTAGTCATCATAAAAATAGGATTGGCTACTCAGTGACAGAAATTTGAGAGTCTTAACCAGTAAGGGAAAAGAAGCAAGAGGTTCAGTATGCATCCTTTGGGGTTGTAGATTCCTGACACTGTTATGATGATAGGCACAAAAACAATAGAAGTCTCAGGGGAGAACCAGAGACCAACATGAGACAGAGCTGAGTTGGAACTGATGTCTCAAAGAGCCAGAGCCAAAGGTCTGTGTCTTTCCTTTTTATCCTCTTGGAGAAGTTTTTGGACGTGCATAGGGATTTGATTCTTGGAATGTCCCAGTCATCTAATGCAATATCTGGGGAGCTCAGGTGGCCTAGTGGTAAGAAGCTGCACTGTAATCCGGAAGGCATGTTATTCCATCAGCTGCTCCACAATGAAGGCTAAGCAATCTCTTCCTGTGCAATTAACTGCCTCTGAAAACCCACTGGAGGGTCAGTTATGGGTCAGTTCTGACTCAATGGTACACAACAACAACAACAATGAAATATCTATGAGAATTAACTATGTTGATATTTGTAAAGCACACTAAGAACAGTGCCTACCTCAGAGTACAAATCACATGTGTCTATTAAATTATTGAAATAAAAAATAATGCCCCCCCCAAGCAGAACATTTTTAATAAACTGGACTAAAATGTGCTAATATCAAATTAACTTCAGGGTTGTCATTACAAATATTACTAAAAACTTATTGTTCCATTACATAAAGAGATTGAGGACATTGTTTATTATGTCCTAGTACCAAGAACAATTGTAATCCTAAACAATTGGCTGTTCTTATTTTTTGTTCATTGAATCAGAGAACTGATTTGATTTCTGTCAAAGCTAAATGCAAGAAATATTAGAATAAAACTTATGGCTCATTTCTGGTATATAACTGTGCTTTGACTTATTCCTGATTTTGTGTTATTTTGTTACTCTTGTTATATCTTCTTTCTTAGATTGTCTTGTTATTCTATTTGTATTAGTTTTTGGCTTTTAAAATTGAAAAAAAAAATAGAGATTTAGTAAAGTATTTGCTTAAAACCTTAACTCTCTCACAAATAACAGACAAAAAAGAACAAAAGATTTGATTACTTTACATGCACACATACAAAGGGGGGAGGAAGCTATCATATCTACTCAGTCAATTCATTATTGTAAAATCAAGTATAAATCCTAACTTCTTCATGAATCTATCTCTTAGGACATTTGTTTCCTAACCTTTTCTCCCTCCTTTAAACTTACTGTTGTTATTTGTCGTTCAGTTACAACTGACCCTATGATAGCTGACATAGGTGACTCATAGCTGGTTTTCAGAGGCAGTAAATCACACTGGAAGAGACTGCCCTTCTTGCTCCTGTGGAGCAACTGCTGGATTTGAACCATGTGCCCTTGGGTTGACAGTTCAGCTCCTTACCACTAGGCTACCAGAACTCTCTTAAACTCTATTCATTTTTAGTGACACCTAATTTAGCACTCTATTGCCCGTTACTTCATTTTTTTAACATTTTATCAATACAAAAACAAGTTTCAAATTATTTATTAAACTGCCGAAGTAGACACACTTTCATATCCTTTTAAAATTTTACAAGAGTGTACCATATAGTATTGTGTTTACTCATGAACTAGTAAGGCCATCTTTGAAAATACATAATCAGAAAGTATTAAAGATAGTTTCAGCATACTATTCTGTGCTTAAAAAATAATATTCTCCGATTAAATAGGTTATACCTTGACCTTTCGAAACATTTACTTGATTTTAAAGTACTATGTACAATTCTTTAGCCTTTTAAAAAAGAGGAGAATACATATTTTCTCACAGATCATCTAACTTAAAAATAATTTCAAAATCTCACTGGAAAGCTCAAAACCATATGTTAAGACCTAAGTAGCAAAAATAAAACTGACTAAAGCTAATTATATTTATATGCTAAAGATTATAGGAAAACAATCTCTTATTTTCAGTCTTCATTGCCTTTTTAATTTATCACTCATTTTTAAAATGTAAAATCAGGTTTGTTTACTATTGCCAAAATTCTTTTTCTAATTATAAGTAGAAAATGCATACTAATAGTTCATGTATAAAGTGAAATAAAGGAGATTTCTGATCTTACCATATTGACTTGCTCCTGTATACATACTATCATTTCTTTTGCTATGGTCCTTGATATAAATTATTGGCACAAATGTACAACCATAGAGTATTCCAGATATCACGGCAAGACCACATCCTCTTAAAGCAAAGGAAAAGAAATAAATCACTATTAATACTGGCAACAAAATATATTTAAACAAATATAAATAGAATTATAATTCAAGCATGTATTTTCAAAAGGGTTTATGGAGAAATCTATCTCAAACTCTATGAATAGTAGAAGTCCAAGAAATGCTCTGGTGTCAAGAAGGTACCAGAAGTAAGAGTACAGGCTTCTGTTCTCTCTACTGGATATGGTTTCTCTAAATTGTAATCGGTTATATAATGATATAAATGGTAATATTGTTATATTATACAATTCACGTAAACAAATGTTGATCTCTAATTGAATAAAATACCTGTGGAACAACAATATGTCATATGCTTCAGGCCATGGTCTTTTCAATCACTTAATATGCATTTGAGAACTTGACAAAGAATAGGATGACAGAAGAAGAATCAATGCCTTTGTGTTGTGGTGTTGGAGAAGAGTGCTGAATATGGACTGCAAAAACAATCAACAGAGATACATCCTGGAGAAGTTGCAGCCAGAGTGCTCAGTGGAGGCAAAACTGTTGAAACTCCATCTCACATACGTTGGACATGTTGTTAGAAGGGGCTATTGCTTGGAAAGAGACAGCATGCTTGGAAAGATGGAAGGCCAATGAAGGAGAGGAAGACCCTCAACAAAATGGATTGTCGCAGTGACTGCAGCTGTGGGATCAAGTACGTCAGAGATGATGAGGACGGCACAGCATAGGACAGGGTTCAGATTTGTTATTTATTAGGTTGCTATGTTCTGGTGGCCTGGTGATAAGAAGCTATGCTGCAATCTGAAGACACATGGTTAAATCCACCATGGACAATCTTCTCCCACATGATTGTCTCTGAAAATCCACTGCAGGGTCAGCTATGGGTCAATTCTGACTAGATGGTACATAACAACAACGAGTTACACTGGACTCAACAACACCTAACAACAACAATATAATTAGTACTAAGCTCAGATAAATTTAATACTAGATGTGTTTTGCTTGGAAAAGTAGAGTCAGTGAAAGAGAGGAATATTCTTAACGAGACGAATTGACACAGTGACACCATTGGCTTGAGCATGGAAGAAACTATGTGGATGGCAGAGGCCTGTCACTCGTAGGTTGGCATGACTCACAGGCACATCACTACAACAACAGATGCATTTTTGTTCAAAACAATCATTAAGAGCCACTAATTTATCCATGCCTTAGTTAAACTGGGCATAGTAATAAAGAGGTTAGGAAACAAATTTGGATTATTCCAGGCAGAACATTGCTTTTTATGAGACGAAAGCATTTCTGAGTGTTGGAGCCATGTTCACTGTAGACTATAAGTGCCCAAGGCAAAGGGTATATTCTGGGTCTGTGAAGAGGTGATTGATATTTTACAACAGGTATTTCATCTAATTTAACACAAAATTAACTTCTGTGAAATAGGGGATTCATTAGCCAAAAACCATTCCTTTTTCTAAATTTTTATAAACATATCTCTATTGTCTATTTTAATAGTTCTTTTTAAGGACTATGAATGAGACTGGCAATCTATAGGATCATATGAATCATGCATTCCAGTCACACTACCAATATTGCATCATGGAAAGCCTGGACTTTATACCTCTGTAGGAGTGTCCTATGAGAGGAGGCCTGGCTAATTAGGCCACAAACACAAAGGATTTCCTCCTCAGATAAGAGCAAAGGAGATAACTTTCTAAATAACAAACATTTTTTGGGGGCATATCTATTTTATCATTAAGTAAGAACCACTTACAAAAATAAAACTGATTTCTTCCAAAGTTGTTTGCCAGTTCATTTACTATTCACTTGAAAATGCACTGAACATTTCGTGTGTGCCTGGTAGGGAGTAATACATTTAGTTGCTAATTGAAACATGCATAGTTTGAGATCACCCAGAGGTATGGTGAGATAAAAGCCTGGTGACCTATTCTGAAAAGCCAGCCCAAGAAGCAAAGTCTTATTCTGGCACATACAAGGTAGAATCGCTTTGAGAGAAGATAGTTTGGTTTTGATTTTATGTGCCAGGCATTGCTAGCTCTGGCTTCCTAGTATGAAGTTAGCAAAAAGACCATCAAAAGGGAAAGCTATATATTGTTAAGACGAATGAGGATGTCACTAAAAGTTTAAAATAGCCATTAACTGTATAACACATGTTCACATGTGGTTGTATATTTTCCTATTTCTTTGTAAATGAAAACAAACCTAAAGAAAATGGCTGATATTGAGTCTAATGGTCTCAGTTTATATGGAGACATTAAATGCTACATTATATTTAACAATGAGTACTCTTGGGATTACAAAATGGTCCGATATAAGTATGAAGGAATTTCATGTGTAAGGCAGGCACCATGGTAGTACAGCACTAGAGAAGAGTTTGTGTTGCCTTGTTCAGCTGTGACTACTAAGAACATTCTAGTCACAGGCACTCTGAGTTAGTCTACCATTTTTACTTGAAGCATAAAAGACTTACAGAATGTAGTTGCTTTCATAAAGTACTTATTGTCTAGAGACACTAACTAAAAATAACCAAGTTCAAAGATCTCTGTACCAAAACACACAGCAAAGGGCAAAGAAAACCTCTCTTTCATGGAGCTGAGGAAGCTAACACATTTGATTTTGGAATTCAGATGACTATTATGCCACACTGGTAAGCCTCACACTGGTAGACCCCACTTTAACCAAAGAAACAGAATACTAGAGCAAAGAAGTAGCCCCTGCTTACACAATGCGGTGTTGTACTGTAGAAAGTTTATCCACCCAGGAATAACTAGCACAGACATCTGGACTTGAGTTGATCTCCTGTTGAACACATTGGCGCAAAACAAACAAACAAACAAAAATGGCATTCTTTTAATAAACATGCTAATATTTTTTGAAAAAAATATTCCTAGTAGTTTCCTCTCTTCTATCTAGAAAGCTTTAAAATATGAACATACTATGCAATATACTCTGATTCTTTGGGTATTTCTAGAGTCAAGAGCAGCTGTACATAGGGTCACTATGAGTCACAAGCAACTAGATGGCACACAACAGCAATGAACAACATACTTGGTTTGATTAATTTCAACATTTATCCCTCTTTCATTTCATGTTTTTTTTTGCTTTTTGGTTTTTTCCCCCTTTCACAACAAAATTGACTGAATATCAATCAGTTTGGTAAATTCTCTGTTTAAAATCTTCACAGCTAAATATACCGTAATTTTCACATGCTATTTTAAAGCTGACTTCAGTTCAGCAGAGAACTGCCAGAAGTCCAGGCTGGGTTTAGAAGGGGTCGTGGTACTACGGATATTGTAGCTGATGTTAAATGGATCTTGGCTGAAAGCAGAGAATACCAGAAGAATGTCAATCTGTGTTTCATTGATTATGCAAAGGCATTTG